TCAAATGCAAAATACACTATAGGCCTATTCTTTTATCTGATTTATTATAACAGATCCGCGATACGCCAGTAAATTGTTGGAACTAGTAACATTTTTCACCCCAAACAAACCGTGATTGGTCTTTCATTCATGCTTCATGACTAGTCAATGTTACAAAGATGTGTTTTGTTCTATGTGATTCTCTGAGCCTTCTATATTGCGCCCCGTGTACTGGTTGTTGTGAGCGGCCGGTGACATTGTGTATATTATAGCTTTCTCGGACTTCGAGTGGGACTTGAGTGTGGGTAATGGCATTGAGGTGTGTCAGCTGTCAGCTTTCGCGAGCGACAAGTAAAGCAGCCTTGCTTTTCTGCACCAAGACGGCTTTTTAGGGCTTACCGTAAAATGTTAAAAAAGAACTTTTTAACATTTTCGCCCCAGATGCCTGTGATTGGCCTTTCATTCATGCTTCGTGACCTTTCACACGCGCAAGTCTATGTTACAGGGATGTCCGGTTTTGTTGTCTGCCCCAAACTTTCGAGACGTTGTGTTTTACTCGTTGCCGTGAGCGGCCGGCGACATTGCATATATTATAGCTTTTTCGGACTTCAAGTACGACATGACTTTACTTCAGCGTTGACAAGCAACAAGAAGAGCGCTTTGCTTTTCTGCAGCAAGACGACTTTTTTTAGGACCCACTGAAAAAATGTTAAGAATTCTGAAACCACGGGACGTGGGCTACACTCTCTCGTGGGACGAAGGCTGAGGCTATGAGGTAGAGGGTATATTTGCGGTTATAGCATCAAAGACAACACAGTGTGACACGGAAAGTAGGCTGCATTCTCTCGTAGTATGAAGGCTGAGGCTATGGAGTAGGGGTTGGGGTAAGGCCAGTTCTAGATCTTCAGTGGTCGTTTAAAGCAGTTACACCGTGTAACATAGAACACGCTACATTGCAGTGGGAGCATCGAATACAACACAACGCGACACCCTTGTAACATAGTGTCACATAACGCTGGTGTCATGTGTCTTTATTTGAGTTTCCCTTAATGAACCAAAAGGACACTCTGAAGTAGTTTGAGTGTTGAGATGTTTGCTCGTAATGGTCTAGGGGGTATCACGCAGCACCAAAGAACATTCAAGCTACTTCAGGGGTGAGACGACTCAAATTATGTCACTACAGAGTTAATAATATTCCTAGTCGCAACTTGGCCTGACTGCCCACTACTTTTAAGCCCTCAGCCCAGATAATAATCCTATGCTAGTGAAATTAACACAGTCCAGACTGAAATACAATAATTCAACATGCATTCCAGATAACTAAAGAACTGTGAAAGACTGACATTAACCACAAAATGTAAAATAACAAAACATCATGTGATCAGTGCAACACAAGTAAGAATGTAAAGAAATGGATTCAGCAAGACAAAGTAACATTTCTATGGAATTGATAAGATCCCTACTCTAGATGGCCTCCTGGTTTGCCACTAGCTTCAGCAATTCTCATCATTATGAAACTGCTAAATTATGGTAACTGGAACTTGGTGTTATGAGTAACCGCAATTCTAGCCGTTACAACTTATCTGTCCAGAAGGTCCTGTTCATCCGAAGTGCAGCATCTTTTAACAGTTGACTTTGAGAATGTTTGACGCCTTGTGAAACCAACATCAGATATTATTGTTCATCAGACACTGGAGTCAAAGAAACCTTGGATCTTTGAAGTTTATGAAATTAAACAGACTAGCGCGTGTGAAAGGTCACGAAACATGAATGAACGGTCAATGACGAGTTGTTTGGTGCGGAAAACATAAAAAGAACCAAATTGTTACCCGTTTTTCTTATTTATAATGTTACTACTTAAAATGCCCTTATTACACTAATTATTATAAAACTGAGCTATCTCTTTATTTCACAATATCTCACTAGTATAGACTAAATCTCGTTTTTAAATAAATATATTAGATCTTACTGTTCTCTCTTTCATCTTAAAGATTATTTATTACATATACTTGTACTGTTATTATAGTTTAAACGAATGTTCATTTCTTTGCGTTCTCACGATAAGATACATTCAATGCAAATGTCACTGTCTGTAATCAAAATTCTCATTCTCGGCGTTTTGTTGCTGAAGAGATCCCTCTTGGGCGAAAAATGTGTAAAAAGTTAGTTGCCTATCCTTTACATGACTTTTCAGAACCAACCCCAGCATTGGGGGGGGGGGGGGGGGGGGGGGCTGATGTGGTTTTTCTTGGCAAATTTATGTCCAGTAGCTTGCCACTGCTTTTTGGTCTGTCGGCTTCTCGATACCACGGTTGAAACCAAAGCAAGGCGCAAAACCCTTATCTGGGATCGAACCCGCCCCCTCCCCCCGGCATTACAAAGCCCGTTTGTCACGCCGACGAAAAAATGTATGTGCCGATATATTGAGTAAAATCAACCAGATCTGTTTCACACTGTTGTGCTTTTCAAAAAACTAACCCATTCCCCCACCCCAAAGGCTGCCATGCTGCCCAATAACGTATTTTCCCTAGGGTTATGGATTGGGAAAAGGAAGGGGGTGAGTGGCCTAGAGGTTCCTTAGCCTCTAGGCTCCTGTATATGTTATTGTGAAGTATCTCTTATTGTTATCCTTCCCGTTTTAGCAGGCAACAGTCATGTCCTTTACCTTGGGCTGATTTCTGTGTATTTCCTTTACCTTGGGAGCGGCGGCGTGAACTTGATTACGTGACATGTCTGCCACGCATGCGCAGACACTGTTTACAGCAGCTCACCACCGATCGTCTGCACGGCTTGTATGGAGACGGCGCCTGTCAGCTATTCTACAAATCTTCCAATCAGTCGGGAATATCTGCAAAAAATGTTACCGCTTGGAAGCTTTCACGTCGATCTCATGTAAGTTTAACAAAATTCAACAAAGCGCTTATGGTTATTAGCTAAAGAAACAGCAGAATGAGAATCGATGTTCGGAAAGTTTTTCCATATTTTTTATTTTCAAACAGACGAGTCGAGCGCTGCAGACCTTGCTTGGTGACTTCCCTGCCCTGATGTGTTTATATTTAGTTGACAGTTGGTGAGTTGAATGTTTACTCACACACAGTCACCGACTACCTGCCCTAGCGTTTTGCTGTTGGAATCTGCATGGAGTCGGGCAAGCGTCTCAGTGTAAAATGGGTACCAGGAAACGGTCTTAAAATCAGTTTGTTTTGTTTTTATGAGGAAGGTACCCTTTTATTTGTACGTTTACTTTTGTTAAACTTCGGTTGCAGACTGGTTTCCTACTATATGCATCCAAGAGACAAGATGCACTGAGGAATCAATTTATGATTTTCATCACACAATCAAAGTGTAGGTCCACAAACAGATCTCAATACGGACTTTGAAGATATGTTTATGGTTGGTTGAATTTTGCCATATGTTTATGGTTGGTTGAATTTTGCCGCTAAGCTTGTAAATGGGCTGAGGTAGTCAGCCTCAGGTCACTCCTCCTCAGTAGCTATCTACAGTATGCATAGTATAAGAAAAATCCCCAGACAAACACATCAGCTATAAGCAAGTCTGAAGATATGGAAAGAATTACAACAGCAGCTAAGGTGGAATACTGCTCTTCTATAAATTAAAAAAAAAATATTTAAAAAAATCCTGTAATACAGAGAAAGCTGGGCTCTCCTGTAAACTACGGCTGGTAGACGGCCGGTTAGTCGGAGTTCTGTCCCTTGGCTACAGTGCAATTACAGAGTGGAAATCACAACACAAAGTGACGTCAACATGGCTTGCAGATCCCGCGCTGCAACCCAAATTAGCGACCGCGTTCAATTACCGCTTATTGTGGAATAGAGGGAACGACACAAGTGACATAATTACTGTGTGCCCAACTGTCATCATACGGTTAGGGTTTGGGGTAGAGTTAGGTTTAGGGTTAGGGTTGCTACTCTGAGTTTGTGCGACAACGAGATGCGGCAACACTAACCGTAACCCTAACCCAACCCCTAACTCAAACCCAACCCTAACCCAAACCCTAACCGTAACCGTATGATTATAACAGGGCAGTGCACGCCGTCTTATCGCCAGCACACAGTAATTGTGTCAATTGTTTCGTCCCTCCTTTTCCAGTCCGTAATTGCACTGTAGCCAAGGGACAGAACTCCGACTAACCGGCCGTCTACTGTTGTCTACCGGCCGTAGTTGACAGGAGAGCCGAAAACTGCAAGGATTCTGTATTAATATTATTATCACTCAGGGAAATCGCTGTAATTGGCACTTGGAGAGTTAGAACTCTGCACGAATTTTTCTCATCAGATCACGACCACCTCTTGTAAATCAGGAAACTAAGCCTTGCATATGCAGAGCCTGAATAACTGTAGTGACTTGTCTCCTACAAGGTTCAGGTCACTTTACTGCTTACACCTGATTTGCTTTAAAGAAATTTAATGTGTTAATTGCCTTTAGTTTTATACTAAGGGGTACGAGTTGTACTTCTTATTTCGAGATTTTATTTTGAGAAAACAAAATGTCCTTTAACTCTTTGAGTCCCAGGGGGTTTAGCATCACAGACCCAGGGGGTAGTAAGGAAAGTAATAAAATCAGCGCATCATGCGTTCATTGAGCTTCTGGGTAGGAACCTTTGAACGTATGATGTGTTCCTTGGGACTCAAAGAGTTAATAATATTTATGGAAAATGTTGGTAACTAGAAAGCATTAATATGTTGTGTTATTTCATTTCAGGTTTTTTTGTGTACTTACATTATCCATTTAGGGCATCAGGCTGCCAGCCTTGCAGTTACAAAGGTGGAGCTTTTGCAGCCTATTCAAAAACACAACAGAGAGGTTGGTCAGGTGGAGTTGTAACAGAGAGAGATTGGGGCAAGAATATAGAGAACAAGTGAACTTGAAGTGTTTGCTTGAAGTGTTTATAACGCTGTTAGGATAGTTTGTGACAGTTTGGTCTATTTTTTTACATCAGAGGAGAAAGATCGTTACAAAATTTGAAGACAGGTAGTTGGAAGTAAATTGTATATTTTAAAATGAATTCAGTGGTAGATTTGGGCAGTGATGGAAGCTGTGATGGAAGCAGTGAGAGTGAGGATGAGAACTTTATGCTGTTCCCGATTACAGACATAGATATAGATGCCTCTTGTGAATCTTTAGCTGATCAGCGCAGTACCACTGACACCACTCCCAGCAAGCAAGAAGATATTGATGAGCCACTCAGACCATTCATCACTTTGAGGGAACGAAGACTTCTCAAGGTGAGTCCTGTGCTGTAATTTTTGTATTTCTTTATTTTTTGTGTGTAGTAAAATATTGTAAAAGAATGCATTATATTTCTGGCTAAAAGAATTTGTTTGTATGACCTAGTTGTCCAGATGTCAATTGGTTTGTATGACCTAGTTGTCCAGATGTCTGTCACAGTTTGGTGTTTATTTTTGTCAGCATAAACCTTCAGTTTGAGCCATCTGTAAATATTTTTTCTATAGGGGTAGAGCAGAAATGGTAACACTGTAACAAACATGTCTATTACTGACTGACAGGTTCAAACATATTTTGGATGTGCAGAACGGTGCTCTTAAATCAGTACCGTTGCACTTCAATTCTCAGGATCACGAAGGTGTCGGCAACATGGTGACAGCCATTGATTGATTGATTGATTCAAGAACTGACATCACAACACTCAGGGCACTCCCATAATAGCTCAGTCTCCATCTTCAGCAACCAGCTAAGAGTTCCGATACTAATGGTGCCAGTAGCATTCTGATTAAACGTCCGTCTTGCCTTTCCTCTTAGCTTTGAGCATCTGCCAGAACCTCTCGTCACTTCCAACAGCATCAATCTCACCACATTGTGGTGATCAATTTGCTCCTCCGAACTGTGCTAGCTCTCCCACAAGGCACTAACCACATCTGCCTTATCGTGCATCAGTATTCCACCAAGCTGTGCAGAGCCAGCCAGTCTGTCCGTCCGCCTGTTCATTTCCCAATACACCTGCATAACCTGGTTAAATAATCCAGACAGCCATTGAATCTAGCCACTCCAGCAACAGTGTCTAGAAGTCTCTTGAGAATCACTTTATTTTTAATTAGGGCTCACAGACACCTAATGGAATGAACTGTCAATGCAGATTCATCTAAAATCCCCAAGTTTTTGCCCTTGAAGCTACTTTTAAATATTTTTCCTTTATTATATAGGATGTTCGGGAGGGGGGGGGGGGGGGGGGGGGGGCAATGCAGAAATAGTAACACTGTTACAATCTATGCATATCATGAGAAATTACTAACAAAAGTTGATATACAGCACAACACTACCTTACTGTAGACAACTTTAGTTGCTAAATTCAGCCGGTTCTTTCTACGATGTCTGGCCCAACTGCTTACTAGTTGACCTTTTGTTCATGCTTTCTCACATGTGACAAGGGCTAGTCTGTGTTGCGGGGTGTCATGTTATATTGTCACCGGTGATGATGCAAGCTGTATACTAGAGGACGACACTGCTTTTAAATACCCCAGAACATCTCCATCTGACCCTAACCCGAACACCCCCCCCCCCCCCCCCCCCCCCGACCCCCTTTTCCCCCACAGCATGAGCCTAGAGAGTGCAAAGTATATGTCCTATGGTTTCACAATTGTTTAAATTTTCCGCTGCGTTCTAAAAACCTGTTTTGCTTCAGAAGCCTACACGACACACAATAAAGAAACCTCTTCACAAACACAAGACAAAGTGACACCTCTCTAACATAGACTAGCCCATGTCACACGTGAGAAAGCATGAGTGAAAGCCGAGTTACGCTCTATTTGGGCTGGACATTGTAACAAGTTCCAATAAGCCTACAAAGGACTGAGGCCCTGTGCCCTATTGGGAGAGAAAAGAAGAAGAAATAGCGCTACTTGCATTGGGAGTCTTAACTTTCTAACTCTTGTTCAACCAAGATACCATCAAATTATGTCAGCATCAGGTCTCAGAAACTGAAATACTTTGACCATATTAAACAAGTGGTTTAAACAGATTATGGATGTGAGCCATGTGCAGGACAACAGCGCACAGAAGACTCGAATAGAGCAAAGTCAAAAAGAATAGCAAACCTCTAAACCCCAACGTAGAAGAGGAGTGACTAAGTAATTGATTTAGAAAGAACCTTTAACAGGCGAGATGATTTCTGGAAGAAGGGTTGGAGGTTAACCAATACTATGATGGATGCAGGGTATTACAAACACCCTTGGCATGAAAATGCATGAGGTTGTTAAACTGGGGAGTGATCAAGAATGTTTCCAGATGACTGTGATAAGAGCAGTGTTGCATAAAGGGCTTGCTGTATGTAAATGTTTATCAGTTACATTTTCTGGTACCAGAGACTAGGGTTGTGAATCTCACACTGAAAATGCTCACCAAATTTCTCTTAGCGAAATATTTGATAAGGGAAAATATTTGCACCCAGAACTTTATCTCTGTTCGTTAGGTGGTACTAGATGTTGCAAGCAAATTCGCAACACAGAAACAGAATGGCACAAGAGTGTACCCTCAAAGAACAAGGTGCTGCTATGCAGGTTTGGGAGGGGGGGGGGGAGGCAAAGGATGCCTGCAAAAAAGATTCTTAAGGAAATGCTTCCTGTTTATGTTGAGAAATGTTGTAAGTGGTTCATAGCTGGGTAAAAAAAAAATGTTGTGATGCAATTCGAAGGCCTGCTGAGTAGAGTAGTACTCCTTCGTGACAATGCCTGACCAAATATGGCTCGGTTAACTCGGGACAAAATTAACCATCTAGAGTGGGGAAAATCTGGAACATCCATCTTACAGCCGCGACTTAGCCCCTAGCGATTTCCACCTTTTTGGTTCACTTTTTGGTTCCCACCTTGGTGGGAGACATTTTGCGATGATGCAGAAGTTGAATGTGAAGTGAAAATGTGGTTTAGAAAACAGAGCACACAGTTCTGTGCAGCAGGATTGGGAGGACTGATAGAACGATGGGACAGGTGCATCAATGTTGTTGGAAATTATGTTTAAAATAAATGGACAGTGTTTGTAAAAATTAATTTTTAAAGTTATTATCTTTAGTTTTTTTTCTAAACAACCATTTTATGACTTACTAATTGACTTCCCCTCATATTATTCTGCCTTACTGTTCTTCTAATATTAACATACTTGATTTCCATTATTGTATATTCCAGGCTTACTCAGCAGTGCTTCCTGACAGCAATCTGAAACCTCTGGCTATCTGCAAGGCTAAAGAGTACAGATCTTCAAAATCAGAATCACAGAAAAAGCCACATATTAAACTGAAACCAAAGTTTGAAAGAATAATGAAGAAGCTTCGCAAGGGAGTTGATCACTGGGCAGAGTATCATTTAGATGACTTGGAGACAGAACTGGCTGTAAGGCACCGGTACAATCCCCGCAGAAAGATTTGGATCCAGGATCACGTCTTGGTTAAAATGGAGAAAAAGGTATTGTTTCCCAAAAAATAATTTAGACAGTTTATAAAGAAACCATTGTGGGTTAAATGAATAACCCATGGTCACCAGGATGATATTGGGCCTAATTCCTTTTGTGTGTGGTTCAGAGACTTTACGAGCTTTATTCTTGTCCTGTCCGTAAATGAGGATGTCATCCTCATATGAGAAGGTTCTTCCTCTGCCATTCAGATGTTCTCCCATGATCTTGGTTGTGTAGATATTAAGCAGGACTGGAGACAAGGGAGATCCTTGAGGCAGGCCTGGAATGACTGTTATTGACTGAGAAGACCAAACACTATCAGAGAACCACCTTTCATTGAAACAGTGCAGTAGATATCCTTCTAACAAGACATGGGGGGAGTGTTGATTTCATTAATTGACACATTAGTTGGTGGAATAGAGTTTTGTTGTAGGCATCTTTCAGGTCTGTGGTGACTGCACGTTTTATTGGCAGCTTAAAAACTTTTAGATGTGTCCTACCTAAAGACAACAGCACTATGCCAGGTCTATGTAGCCATATGTGGGGGGTAGTAACCGATGAATTTCCAGTTGGCTTTCCACTCTTCTGGCCATTATCTTTCCAAAATATTTCCTGGTGTATTTTACATTGGGATCACCCTGTAGCCGCTTTAATGCATAGCACATGATAAGTGACTAGCAGCAGGAAACAATCTAAGCAAGTGTTGAATCTTCTTCTTCTTCTTCTTCTTTGCATTTGGTTTTGTATGCTCAGATCAGACCATCAGGTGGGTTGCCTGTATGAACTCGCATGTCAGTAGCAGGTCCTTCATGGTTCCCCGTAGCTTGCTCTGCACACTTTGCTCTTGAGGTCAGGTGTCTTTTTGGAGTTGTGCTCAGGTGTTTGAGGTCTTGTTTGACAGGCACGCTGTGGGGACTGTACAATCTTTATTTTATAAATGTGGTAGTTGAGCCTGCAGTGTCCTGTTCATAGATGGACAATTGTTGTATGTTGCTTTCTGTTGAGTCTGCTGATGGAGTCTTGTGAATGTTTACTGATAGTTTGTTTTCTCCACAATTCCTTGTATTTTCCTTTGATATGTGTTCTGATTTATGATAATGACAGTGAATGGGCGTGTTGTTTCTCCTTTCTTCCATTTTTGTGTGTGAATCAAAATGCACTCTATTCTATAATCTTAACATTATTTTGCTTAAACAAGTTTTAAAAGCCTTGGGTTCTGGCAAGATAACACATTACACATTGTAATATTTTGTCATGTAACATTCTTTTTACTTTTTATCTCATTAACAGCCATTTACAAGAGGTGCAATGAGACAGTGTTTCCGAGTGTAAGCAATTACGTTTTAATTTGTACATTTTTGTGTTCTTTTTGTGTGTGTTCTTTGTTGAGAACATGGAGGTTATAGTCTATCATCATGTAGCAGGTCCTTTGCAGAACGTTGCTCTCATCACAGTCTGCCTGAAAGAAACTCGGTCTCTCGCCAGTTCTCCTGCCTCATGTACTCACACTCAAGGAGTCACTTATATCCTGTGCCCATATTCGTGTCGGTTGGCCCCTGCCCCTTCTTCCTGGTACCATGCCTTCTGCTATAGTTTTTTCCAATCCGTTGTGGCGCTTGATATGACCAAAATAGTTCAGCTTCTGAGAAAGGATCTGTTTATTAGCCAATCTTCTTTGATGTTCAGATCTTTTAAGATGTCAATATTTCTCAGACAGGCAGCCGGCTATAAAGGCCACTGCTTCATCACGATCCAATTTCTAGATTTATGATATTTACTTGTTTGTTTAGTGACTGTTATTCATTTTTTCCAGGAAGGGAAATTTGTGTGTGTGCCAAGGGAAATAATCATTAAATACAAACAGCGCAAAGACTTGACAACTTTCCTTCCCTTTGACCATGACAAAGATGGTTTTGTTGACTTAGTTGTGTAATATATATTCATACCCAACATGTCATCAGTTGCAACTACTACCAAAGCTGTTATATAGGCAAAGTGGCCACTCCCCTAAGATTTCATGTCAGCAAAAACCTGTAGATGCTGAAAAAAAAAGGATATTTACAGCTTTGGCTTGATCTTAACTGTCAGAATGAATCAGAAAAGTAAGTTTTGATTTTCTTGAGAATCAGCAGATTTGTGAATTGTGATTGTATGAAGACTTCACAATCCAGATTGATTCTTTGAAGCTTAATATGTTTCACCATGTTTAGTTCCATGGTAAATCATATGTGATAAAAAATCTTTTGGAAGCATTTGAAAACATGAAAGGGAAAACTGGTCGCCACAGTCTGGAAAAAAATTATGCAAAATGGGCATGACCAGAGGATCTGGTAGACATTAAGTGCCAAGAGCGACATAGAATCAGACCACGACTGGAACCGTTTGTATAGGAACTATGCACTGGCTGCTGAAGATGACGGTGGAGCATTTTAAAGAGTGCTTTGGTGTCGGTTCTTAATTAACTCCTAATTCTTTAACTCTGTGCATTTCTTTCTTGTAAATTTTTGAATATCATATATTTATAGTTTTTTTTGTTCTCTACAGGAAGAAAAAGCACTCTGCTGTATGCAATTCTACTTATGGTCTTGACAAGAATGCAAGTAATTATGTGGCAAAGAGCTACATAGAAAATGTAGACAGATCAGTCTATTTTGAAGATGTCAAGCTACAAATGGATGCCAAAATTTGGGGTGAGGAGTACAACAGACACAATCCACCAAAGAAGGCAAGCTTGTGGTTTGTTAGAGTGATTCATTGGAAAGAGAAAAACTTTCAAATTAATGATAAAAAGCTTTATTAGTTGTGTAAATCAGTTTCTTATCCTAATGAGAAACAAAATCATGTGATTTCGTGGAAAGAGGGGGGGGGGGTGGTTAATCTATACATGATGTGACATAAAGAAGAAACATGGCATGGTATGATGACCACGCATTTGTCACCTGGTTGTGATGGGTGTATCCTGTGTGTATCTAAGAAACACCCTTGTAACACCCTAAATGAAACGCTGCATATTGTGCAAAGATGTTCCCAACCACATTCAATGTTGTAAGTCATACATGAGTCTGGGCTTCATTTGAATGGCAGCCATTGCTTTTTAAGCCTCAAATGCTTATTATCTTTGTATGGCATTGTCAGTATTCAATTTGTAGCATAGGCTTTAGTCAAATGTTGTTCCTAAATATTTAAAGTAGTTTAAAATGTCAATGAGTAAGTAGCTCTTCAGGCTGGCATCTGGTAACAGACAACAGAACAAGTTAATTAATCTCATGATTGTCTAGTTCGTTAGTTGCATATCTGGCATACTTCCAGTCTAATGTCTTTAGATGCTTGTTTATTTAGATATTGTTTTTCGGTCTGTTTACAGGTGGACATTTTCCAGATGTATGTGCTGGAGTTCCCGGACAGACCAGGCAAACCATTGTTTCACTTGGAACATTTCATTGAAGGGGAATACATCAAGTACAACTCTAATTCTGGCTTTGTTGAAGAGAGTCTCCGTTTCACGCCACAGGTATGATGCTAAAATGTTCTTTCTCCATCAGATTGTTTAGTTTTGTTTGGTGTAATTGTGTGTTTACCTCATAGTTCATTGCTTCAATGGAGATAGAGGACCTAATGGTGTTATTGGGGACAGAACACACAGAGTAACTAGTTATCAAATGAGGTGGTGAACTTTGACTGAGTTCATTGCTTCAATAGAGAAAGAGAACAAAGAGATGACACTTATATACTGCCTAACAAGTTTGACCTAATGGTGTCAAATGAGACAGAACACACAGAGTAACTAGTGATCAAATAAGGAGGTGAACTTTGACTGTGCACACTTATTAATCCACCACATAAATATTTTGTAATGCCCTTTTTTGTTGGCTCAAGTTAACAGACAGATCAGGTACTGGGGTAATCAGAGTTCCATCTTCACATCTACCCATAAATGCTTCATTCCTGAGCCAACCAAAACCACACATAATGCCCATCACTGTCCCTTGTTGACAAAAAAATTGACCCAGACTAGTTTTAGCAAATCTAACAGCATACATACACATTGAATGCATAAAACAGCAGTCAGAAGTGACAACACAAACAGTACAACGCTAGAAATGCAGTTTGTCATTGATGGAAGCAGCAGCTACAACAGATCAGTAGTTGCACACACATTTAATCGCATCAGTAAATCAGGTGCCATCTCCACAGTGAAGGTTGGCTGTAATGGATATCAAACACGCTCTGACTCCTGTCTTGGAGCACATTTTGTCTTTTAATGTGGCCAGAATATTTCAGTTTCCTCTTTTTTTATTCATTTCTTTTCATTCACCGTCTTTCCAGAACCCCAGTTTTCAATTGTTTTTGTTTAGATGAAATGCGACATATTCTTCTGTATATTCATATTGTTTAAGACTCAGTCTGATTTTCTAGTTGCTTATTTGTTGACCTTTTTCTTCTTTTTCGCGTTCACCAGTTGTAAACTTTAGTGAAAATTTCCGGCTGTTCGTCCACCTCAGGAAGGACTTTTGTCTTGTTCCAGAACCTGTGTGTTGCATATGCGATTGTTTTACAGATCTGACTTATTTGAATGCAGATTTCTGGTTCCTTGCCTCTCTGGCAAATGCACTCACTTTTTAGAAAGCCCCCATTTAGTCGACACTTACGACAGGCCTCTTAGGGAGGCAGTGGGTCGAATCTTGTTCTCCCCAAAATGGGGCCCCGTAACCCACACAGGGAGTTCATTGTTCAAGTTTTGCATCATACAGCAGGGTTGAGTATACGTAACATTTGGTGATTCTAATTTTTTAGTATGTTGTCTATCTCTCAAACTGTCGATAATTGTTGCATCTTATTGAAGATAGTCTTAGCCATTCCTGTTACCTTTTTGATTTCTTTTTCACTTCTACCATCTTTTAACCACATATCCAAGATAGAAGAAAGTTTTTCCTTTTCTGATATCTCCGTTTACTGGGATATTTGCTGTTGGCACTCTTTTCCATTGTTAAGGTAGTTTCTGTTTTTCAAATGGTAATGTCTAATCCATACTCTGTACTCCACCTGTTGACTCCAATAGTTCTTGTAGCTCCTGTTCACTTTCTGCTTGTAACACAGTCATCAGCATTTCTCAGATTGTTTACTATTCTGCCATTAATATTCAGTCCTGACAATTCTCTGACTTGTTTTATAATGTTTTCTTTATGTAAATTGAGAAAAAAAACAGTGAAAGGATATATGACAATATCCGAACAGGTTCTGATAGTCAGGTTAAGTGGTAAATTATAGTTGTGAATATAATGCAGATCTAGGCACCAATGGCAGACAGCTCAGAGTAAGAAAGCAACAATTTTTATAAACACAGTGTAAAAACAAGAGAAGCAACTGTAGTGCTAGGTGACTTTAATGCAAAGGTTGGGCAAGAAAAGAATAAAGTCAATACAGGTGGATATGATCTAGTATAGAGAAATCAGAGAGGAGAAAAACTGGTTGAATGGGCTAGGACACATAAAATGAAAATTGGAAATACCCACTTAAAACAACATCCTTGACACCTGTGGGCTTGGAAAAGCCCTGGAAATAATTTTCAGAACCAGATTGATTAAATATTTATAAACAGCGGATTCATAAACAATTTGTTGTCAGTAAAAAAACAAGACCCGGTGCAGACTTTAATAGTGACCATGCGTCAGTCATTGGAAAACTAAGGATAAAGCTGAAGCAACTAAGAAGGGCTCCAAGAAATACCCAGCTAGATGTGGCAGTGCTTGAATCCAATCAAGCAATGAGTGAGAGAAACTCCATTACTGTTAAGAATAGATGCAGTGCTATTGAAAAGATAAGCAGCCGGGAAGACTAACCCAGTCAACAAATGCCCGCAGAAGTCGGATGTGTTGGCCGAAATTACATCTTTGGATGAACGAAGAAGAAGAAAAGATCAGCAGCCGGGAAGACTAACCCAGTCAACAAATGCCTGCAGAAGTCGGATGTGTTGGCCGAAATTACATCTTTGGATGAACGAAGAAGAAGAAGAAGAAGAAAAGATAAGCAGTTTAGATGAACAATGACAAATGCTAAAAGAGTCGTTGCAACAGGCATCAAAAGAAATATTACCAGAAGTAAAAAAGATAGATAAAAAAAAAAAAATTGACGTCTGATTGAAATTAGAAAAAACTAAATACAAACAAGATGAATATTGAATACATAGAGAGATTGTACATAAATGCGACAGAAGTTTGGCTAAATGGTAAATGTAAAGAAATTGAACAAAGAGAGAATACACAACCCATGTATAAAAGAATACAAGAACTGTATGGTTTTAGAAACTATACAACAAGTAGTTGCTTGAAAACAAAAGTAGGTGAAATATTAGTGGACAAATAGAAGGTAATTGAAAGATGGAAAGAGTATATAAAAGAGCTGTATGATGATAATAGCAGACCAGACACAGAGAGTCGCGAGTGTTGGGAAGGACCGCCAGTACTGAAAGTGAAAGTGGGAGATGCTATAAACCACATGAAGAAATGTGAATCTCCAGGGCCAGATAAGATCATGATTGAAGAATTAAAAGCTGCTGGTGAACTTGATTTAGAATTTTGACAAAATTGTTGTGTGGATGCCTATCAAAACATTGTCTATGTGCTTATTATATACAGTTATATAAGTGGACACGTACCTGAATACCTTTTGAAATCCCCTTTATATACCTTTACCAAAAACACCTGGTGCAGTGAAATGTGGAGAACATTGAAAAATTAGTTTAATGAGTCATACATTTTTGAGAACACTTTCAGAAAGAATGATTGACATGAATCGAGACTTGTATTTGTGCTTTATTGATTACACTAAAGCTCCTCTGTAATAGTACAATAGCAGTCAGCATTCGGCTATAAATGAAAATGTGGAATGATTGATTACATATTGTTTTTAGTTTTTAAATTTCATTTCAACGTCTTTGATTCCTTTTAGGCATTTAGCCACTTCACATTTGAGCGCTCTGGTCATCAGTTGATAGTGGTGGATGTGCAGGGGGTAGGGGATCTGTATACAGACCCACAAATTCACACTGCTGAAGGGAAAGAGTATGGAGATGGTAATCTGGGGCCCAAAGGGATGGCCTTATTTTTCCACTCCCATATCTGCAACTCTATCTGTGACAGTCTTGATCTGACTCCGTTTGATTTGGCGGAGTCTGAGCTTGCAAATTGCAGGGAGTTCATAGAGAAGCAGGTAAGCTATTATGGTTACTGATTCTACAGACTTCTTTATCTTTCCTTGTCATATGTTTCTTTCTTCAGTCCAGATAATTTAAAGAAAAAGTGAAAGCAGAAGTATAACAAAGATTGACACCAGCAAGGATGTATAGTGTAAAAAAAAAAAAAAAAAAAAAAAAACCCACGATAATTGTGCTCTTATAGTGCATTTTTGTTGCCGTGAAAGCCAGAATGCCCATCGATAACCCAGATACAGAAGAACTGTTGATTGATTAGTAGAACCCTAAGGGTGCAGTTTAAACTGTTTCACTCATTTAATTTTAAAGATGTCATCATAAAAATGATACAATTATGTTCCTTTCATTAGCCATGCGCTTCTTTTTCTTTCGTTAAAAAAAAAAAAAAAAAGTAGTTAAGCATCAGTGGATAACTGCAGTTTATTTTTTATTGTAAATATTTTTAAAACAGTATATAAAGGAAGCACTGTTTGTTGATAATATTTGTGTAATATTACTTTAGAATTCTCAATTTTACCTAAATGGAATGGCTCTGCATTCTGATAGTGTACTTCACTGCACCATATTTTGGCCAAGGACATGACACCATCTCCCAGGGCTTAGCTATGCCATGCCTTGTGTGTGCGATTGTAAGTTTTATCAAGTGAAGCATATGGTTGACCTTTTTTGTGTGCTCTTAAAAGTAATTTGTGCAGCCTTGGTGTGAAACATATTATCATCTAAAGGTGAAGTTTAAGAAATGTAAAAATAAATGTTATTTGTATATAATTTAGAAAATCTTCTTCGCGTTCACTGGCTGTAAACTCTGGACTTTAGTCTTGCTCCAGAACCTGAGTGTTGTGTGCACACCCGTTTTATTTATTTATATGCAGACAGTTGTTTCCTTGCCTCTCAGTCAGATGCACTCCGACTGCGAAGGAAGCTCTGAGTAGTCTACTCTTGCGACATGCTCTTTAGGGAGGCAGTAAGTGTATTCTTGTTTTCCTCATAATGGGGACTCATAAACCACACAGGAATTGTTTAGAATATGATTCCAGTGCTTCTCTACTTTTAACAATCCAGCTCCATTCTTAGGAAGTTGCTGCTTTGTACTTGGTCTATTTTGTATTTGTTAACAATGAAGTTACTTCATTAGGTAAATATTTAATTTCAGAAGTTTTCTTCGGTGACGAGGTTAAGAGGCAGTGAGGACTCTTGCATCTCTGCATCACCAATGGATACCTTTGATCTGACAGAAATCCTGGGTCGACATCGATCTTCAGAATCTGCCACTTCTGCTGATGATGATTCCTCTGCTCAGAATGGAGATGATGAATCTTCAGCGAATACCCCTACTAGTGAAGAAGAATACATGTCCCTGGACAGTCCATTAGGTCACATACGGGCTAGGGTTCGATGGCAGAGTGAATCGGAGCAGGATTCCATGACAACAGTGAGTAATAGCTAGAAGTAGGCAATGTCAGTTTTATCATTAAATGAATGTAAGAAAGTTTGGAATTGATCGCTTATTTCTACTGTTTGTCAGTTGTATTACCTGCTTTTAATGCCTTTGAAAAATGTTATTCAAATAATTTGGTGGGCAGCTTTTATTATGCAATATTTTATTCCTTTTTGTGTGTGCCTGAAAGTTGTCAAACAACCATTCTAGACTAGATGTGGCCCCACTAAACTAACGGGGACGAATAACCTGAAAAGCGTAAGTCCGAAGAAGTAAATATTGGTGGAAAGGCGCAAAAATCGCAGCTATGCAGACACAACACGATTATGTTGCTCGAACAGGCCAAAATTGTTCACTAAAAAGTGGCACCTGACATTCCCAACACGGGTAACTTGTCATTGTCCCTTTATGACCGTTTTTATTTTCTGTATTTCTACATTTATCTTTTTCTACACAGTGTGGCTACTACTTCTGGGTTTTGAGTTTGAAGCTGTTTGTCAAATTAGGGAAGGAAAGAATCTGTAATATGCTTCAAGGACCCTAAGCTTTGGGGGAAGGAGGAGGGTCACAAGGTGTTGCTCCTCTCCTTTTAGTTGAAGTGATGTGGTGTAAGCGTTGTGCCCAGCTGAAAAATACAATTCTGCAACTTCAGAGGTTGCTTCCCATTTTTCACTAATAATTAATGATTTAGTAAGCGACTCTGAATAACTGTAAGAGTAAGCAATGACAAAATAATTTCAGCCACCATTTCAAAGAACAGCGTGTAAGAGGAACATAAGCTAGCAGTTGGTACTGATGTCGACTCCTGACATATTATGGGAATAATCATTTTTGGCAGCAAACGGTGAATGGATAAATGGATGTGTGCTCCAACAGTCTAAAATAGACGGCTTTTTCACAACACTTGTGTGATGTACAAAGAAAAGTATCCCTTTTGCAAGGGATATGGAATCGAACCCGGTTCCATATCCCTTGCAAAAGGGATACCTTTCTTTGTACATCACACAAATGTTGTGAAAAAGCCGTCTCTACCAGGTAGTCCACATAAAAAAATGTTGATACTATGTTATTCTGAGGCTGGTTTTTTTCTCTGACATCCCCTCTCTATAGCTTGCTGTCTTTGGCCTCTTGCAAACTGAGACAGTCAGTCTTTCACTGTCTGCCTCCACAGGAGTCAGTCTGCAGCCACTATTGGTAACTTTCTGGTCGCCTTTTCAAATGTTCTTATAGTGTAGCCATGGTTTTCTTGGCAATCTTTTTGTTGTTACCAGTTCATCATACAGGAGATCCTTTAGAATATGACTGTCCTTCATGCCAGAGATATCTCGTAACCAACACAGACGTTTTTGCTTCAGTAGAAACATTGTTGGCATTCCTGCTCTTTTGAATAAAACATGAAGACAGCCTCACCATGGTACCAAGAATGTGTTCTGGGAAAATATTAATCTAGAGAGGCAAGGGGAAATAAAGATATATACGTGGAAGCTTAGCAGATTGATAAATAATAATACAAGAAGTGCCAGCTTCATCAGAATATCACATGACAGTGTGGATTGAAGAGATGATCAATGATGGCTCCTCTAAACTAGGCCCTTGAAGAAGTAGATAAATAGAAAGATGCTTTCAGTAATGTTTTCTTTAAGGAGATACAAGTATTAACACATTACCACATGTTTGTTTAGTTCATAGGATTAGTACTGTGAATCTAAAATAAAAAAAGAATCTTTTTCAAGCATTGAGGTTAGCCCCCTATATAATATATATATATATATGAACAAATGGGAAGCAGTTGACAAGTGTAGAAACTGTACACTATGATAGTATGTTTATTCTGAAATGTTTCATTCTGTGAAGGATGAGGAGAACAAAGCATTCTCTAAAGCTCAGGCTGAAAAAGCACGCCCATCAAGTGTGCTTCATGAGCTGGATTTGAGGAAGCTGTCAAATCTCAAGATAGGGCAGTCAGTTCTGGGCCAGGTAAGTTGAGGCTGGGCTTTGGTCTTCCTCTATCTCCAGCTATCTCTTCCTCCCCAACTGCCTTCGTAGTAGATAAACAGCAAAATTAAGATTAGATCGGAACATAGAAGACATAATCAGTAGATTGCACAGTATATTGCCTGGTATATTTTGCTGTATCTCGTCAGGTGCATGCTACAGTAACAGTTAAATAAGCTGAATACAGCAAAATGTTCCAGGCACACACAAAAATTGTGCAATCTGTTAGTGTTTCCTTTGTTCACATTTACAATGGGGAAACAGCTTTAAGATTAGATTGTTTGGACAAATTCTTGGATCAGATTTGAGATTTGGATTACATGAAAGCAGTACTTTTTGTTTTAACACTGACTGACTTCATTTTCTCCATTGGTTTTTCCCTTCAGTGTCAAGGTAAGAAAATATATCTGTTGAGTTTTGTGGTGGAACTTCATGTATGCTAGTTGCCCAGTATAGAGTGAACTAATTCAGACTTGTTTTTCTGTGGCAACTTCTGCCATAGGCAATTCATCATCAAGTGTCTTGACAACTGGCGTGGGCAATCATGCCTCTCCACAGTCTTTGATCTGCAGCTGCGTGTGTGAGTTCGTAACTTGACACCCTTCCATGCCATGACAAAAGGCCGCCAAGAATCTTCTCGCGCTGTTTTCCTCTGTCTCTCTTTCCACAGATCTTTCCAGTGATCACAACATGGTCCATTTTCCCTCTTCTCATAACATGACCTTAAAAAAGTATGACTGTCTCTTTCAAATGTTTATGATAAGTTGTCTCCAAGCACTCGCATTTTTCAAAACATCTGGGTTGCTCTTCTTAGCTGTACAAGGTATTCTAAGGATTCCTCTGTAAAACCACATTTCCAAGTCCTCAAGATATTGTTCGGCTTGTTTATTCATTGTCCAGGTATCACAGCCGTATTTTAAAACTGGCTCTATATAAGATGCAAGAATTCTTTTCCTAACCTCTAGTGACATGGATTTATTGCATACAAATGTTCTTCATTTGATAAAATGCAGTTTTGGCTTGTCATATTCTGTTCTTTATCTCTGTGATACATTTTCCATCGGATGTTATCAATGTGCCCAGATACCTAAATTTCTGTACTTGTCCTACAATAATGCCTTTGACTTTTATTATACACTTAGGCACAATTCTTTTCTTGGTAATCACCATTACTTCTGTCTTCCCATTATTCAAACTGAGGCCCTTTTTATCACTTTCTGCCACCACCATATCAATCAATTCCTGTGGTTCTTTCTTTCTGACTTGTCGCTACTATTAGCAAAATGCAGGTTGTTTATGTTATGACCACCAACCACAATTCCTGACATATCCATGAAGGGTCTCATTATATATTGAGTCCACATCCTTGTCTTAGTAAAAAAAGTAAAGATCCCTTTTCACGCCTTTCGGCGCATCGGGCATATGGGCAGAGCGTCCCATATTTTTACAGACCATCAGCACTCTGTGGGTAATGTGGTCAGCATTACGCCGGCTGTCTTTACTTTCCCAGGACAGCCCATCCTGGTACCCATTTTAGGCTGGGTCGACCTGCGACGTCCCATACTACGATAAAAATCCACGACGCAGCCTGCAGTGGGTTTCGATCGCGGTATGCTGGCTTATGAGTCGGACTCGCAACGCCATTAGCCACGGACGCTGCACATCCTTGTGTTACTTCCCTCTTTATGCTCTGAAATGTTCTTAAATGATTATTGATTCTTATAACAGTGCTTCCCCAATATCTCCCCCCAGGGTGACGTCACAGGACTGTCCAGTATTTTTGAGAGTGGTAAGAGCAGGTTTCCCGGCTTTCTGATGCTTAACTACCCCAAAACTACTGGAACTGGGCCTAACCCCAACCCACCAAAGCCCACGAAAGTCTGCAGCTCAGGTTCCACAACCGCTTGCAGCCTAGGTCCCATGACTGCATGCAGCTTATCTACCACCCCTAAAATATTCAACTGTCTGTTTGGGAGGAGATATTGGGATAGAACCCTTATAACTGCTGATTATTTCTTCATGTTTCACGGCTAAATGTTTTCATATAGTCTATGAAACGTGTCCACACGCTTGTGTGCCTAGAATCAGCCGCACTTACAGGGGTCACACTTTTCAACGGGGGTTTCTATCTGGCTTGCTCCAGCCATAGCCTGGTATTTTACCCCTTCAGGCACCAGGGTCCATTTTGTTAGCGATAGAAACTCTATGAGCCAGAGCCGTGTCAGTTACGACAAGTAGCACCAAGTGTAGGTACAGTTGACTTGATTGGCAGAGGTATTGAGTTCCCCGCAGGCATTTCCCATTTTTTATATGAGACCTGTACATACCAATCCTTGCTACCCACGTCGTCTGAATTCGATTGTTGTACACACATGATTTACTAGGGAAAATACAACGGTGGTTTCCCCTTGACTTCCACCGGTTTGTTTTTGGTTTTAACTCCAGTAGCCTTTGTCTAAAGAGACATACCCTGCAAGGCAGCAGGGTGGAGAGGTTGTAATGGCGCCTCTTACTTGCCGATGGTTATGTCGCAGAGTTTTGAGGTATTTTATAGAACTGGCTACCACATCAGCTAGCTCATCTCTTCTCAATAACCAGCACCTGTTTTGGTCCAAGGCCGCTTATTCAGTATATACGTGACTAAGCTCTCATTGGCTGTTACTTTTGTTTTATCTGTTACTGTTAGATTTGTTCTTTCTAACAAATGACAGAGTAATCCTTGGTGTTTGTGAAGTTTTTCAAGTTTTAAAATTTGTGTGTATGTCAACAGATCCACCATGAGATGGCCAAGTATCACGAGATGGGTCGGTTTTGCCTTCAGGAGGACGTAGTGGACTGGGATGCTGCCTTGTTCCATGAGGAGCATGCTGCTGAGCTTGGCGTCCTAGAAGCTATAAACACAATGGCGATGCTGTACATGGGTCTTCCAAGACATATGTTTGTCAACTGTATTGTCCAGGTTGGTAACTCAGAAATTTGTCGTTTCATTTCTGTCTCAGGCAGAACAGAACATTCGTACATGTGGAAGTTAGTAGGAGCTAAAGCAGTAGCTTGAAGTTGATCAATTAAAATGAAAGTTGTCATAGAGTAGACTCGGATGTTCTGCTTTGAAAATTACGGCAATAAGTAGTGTGTAAATACAGTGAAGGACCCTTTCTATTGGTATGATAGTGTTACTAATGTTCAGCTTTGGGAGAGAACTAACAAAAATTGTAGTGAATCAAGAGGTAAAGAAGAGACATAGGTTTTGGATTGGACACTTTGAGAATACCTGAGAACAATAGAACTGTCTCTGCACTGAACCCACAGGGGCATAGAAATAACAGCAGACCAAGAAATACGTAGAGAAGACAGAGAGTGAAGTTGAAAAGATGGGGGAGGGGCATGGAGTGAGCTGCATGCAGTAGCAAAGGATAGGATGACTCTGCCTGAGCTGGTTGAGGGTCTAAACTCCTTTAGGGGATAAAGGGCAGAAGCAGAAGAAAGGACTCTTGTTTCTGTGCCAGTGGCGTATTGTGCATGGTGTGCTAGACTTATTTTTTTTTATAGTCCAATGGGCACTAGGTGGGTGATATGGTCGTCAACATGCTGGCTGCATCTACTTTCCAAAAGTGTACCTGCTACCTGTTTTAGACTGAGTCCATCTGGGAGCCAAAGTCGTTTTTTTTTCTTTGTGAAGAAAAAATAAATCTCAGTGCCGATTCATTAATATATATATATTTTTTTAAAGTTATTTAAATAGATTGTATAAATTAGTTTGCAAAATATATGAAGCAGTGTAATCAGTAAACATGGATGAATTGGAGAATTTGACGTCTTTCCCTTTTGCCTTAAAACACACATATTTATACTGTGAGTTGTTCCTTGACTTCTCACCCATTAGTAAAGACTAAAGTGGAAATTATATCATCATTGCGGAAAAGCCAATTACCACACCCCCCCCCCCCCCCCCACGCTTTTTTTTTCTTAATAATAAACATAATCATATTTTGGGGCTCCTGTGCAGGCACACAAAAAACCAGTGCTGTTAACTAGGCTTGTTATGGACTGACCACTGCAGCAGTGCCAGTTTAGAGGCTTCTCAGAGATGAGAAGCAGAGGGCAATGGTGGATTGGGAACTTTTAAGAGTTAATCAGTACAGTGCTGTAAATAGCTGTTCAAGTAAGTCTGTATAATCTCTGTCTGCAAGAGTTGCTATATTATTGCCCCCCTTTTTTCTCAGTAACCATTTACTAAATAAAGTAAATATAGGAAATTCATGCATGACATAACTGGTTGTTTTCTGTTGTATTGTTTGTCCCCTCACTTAATTCGCCTCTGTGGCCTTAAAGCAGTGTACAAGTGCATGCATGCCTTCTCTGTTCATGGGGGCATATTTTTTTTTAAATTGCATTAAGATTTAGCTTTAATGGTACTTCTATGCTGTCTTCTTCTTTTTCTTCTTCCTCTTTTTAGGGTTCACTGACTTTGAAATGTGCAGATAATTCTGCTTGTTCGTCCATGATTGGATTATGCTCTTGACCCAAAACTTGAGTTTTCCATGCGAATCTGTTTCACAGATCTTACTTATTTGTATGCAGATTGTTGGTTCTTTGCTTGTCAGGCATGTGCACTTTGATTTTGTTCTCCAGAATAGAGCCCTGGAACCCACACGGGGGGGGGGGGGGGGGGGGGGTTGCTGTTGTTGTTGTGTTATATGTCTGCCAGGCAGTATCTATAAAGCAGTGGTACTGATAGCCATCACACTTCCATTGTTGACTGAAAGCGTAGAGCTAATTGTCGGCCTGTGATGCAATGAACTGAGTAATAATTAGCAGAACTATTCAGTTCTGATATGGTGGCTGTGGGCAAATGTTTTGCAGTTCTGTGTCTGCATTTCCTGAAACCTTAACTCCCTTGCCTCAGTATACTGTCAGCTGCTCTCACTTCTGTACATAGTACACAGTCTTTTATGAGTGTTTAAGCAAGCTTCTTTCTCAAACATTTGTTTCCATGAGTAACAAGAGGATGAAATCAGCAAAAACCAACTCCATGTAGCAGAATTATGCTCGCAGGATGAAATGAGACACCGTCTTACTTCTTTATCATATTTCATAAATCAACAGCAAAGATCAGAAATGATTGATGTGGGTGTCGACTACATGGTGCAAGCTGCTGAGGCAGGAGACAGAAATGCTATGATATTTATGGCCAGGGCATTTGAGACAGGAAACGGCTTAGGCACAAAAAGGTAAGGTCTTACTTTTCCACTTCAGTCTGAGATAGTCTGGTTCTGTTGGTTATAGTTCTGTAGGGATATCTGACCTGATAAGGTTTAGTTAAGATATAGTAGGTCATGACATTTGATGTTGGGAGACCTGCTTCTTTCCTTAGTGTCGATTTTCCCCAGAGAAATCTAGTTCCCATTTCATTACTAAAAAAAAGAAAAATGTCAAATTTAGAACTATATACATCATATTCTGGAGACTGGACCCAGACCATATCTGTGTGCAGCATCCACTATATCACAGTGGATGCTTAACCCACTGACTACCAAGCCCATTAATCCTTGCATTTCCCCAGATACCATGTATTTTAGTGTGTACTAAAAATGCCACAGCTTCACCACTATTTGATATAATCTCACAGTATTGTGTATTTTTGCACCAAATTGAATAAAAAACACATTTTAAGGGAAAAAAAGTTGTTTATTCTATTTTGCATCATCATCATGTGGCTGTAGATTGGTGCAAAAAAGGCAACTGAAAAATCTTTTATCTGACAACAATAAAGACTGATAAAAATGTCTTTATCTTCAAAAAACATTTTTTTAAAATGTATAATATTTTGTATTTTTGCACAAAATTGAACTCAGAACACATTTGACGGGGGAAAAAAAATGAGGTTTACTTTGACAAAGTCATCATCATCTTGTGGCTGTAGGTCGTTGCAAAAAAAATAAAAAAAGGCAACTGAAAATCTTTTATCTGACAACAATAAAGACTAATAAAAATGTCATTTTTTCAAAAATATTCAACAAACATATATTTTGTATTTTTGCACAAAATTGAATCGAGAACACATGTGAAGACAACAAATGGGGTTTACTTTGTCTGACATATCATCATCATGTGGCTGTAGATTGTTGCAAAAAAGGCAACTGTCAAGATCACTTATCCTATCTGATATTGTTTGCACCAAATTGAATAGATAACAAATATCAAGACAAATGTAGATTTACTGTTTGACATCATCATCATGTGGCTGTAGGCATGGTGCAAAAAAAAAAGCAACAGAAAAATGTTTTATCTGACAGCAATATATAGAAAACGCCCCGTGACATGATGGTGGCAGCAAATGGTGAGTGGATAAATGGATGTATGGTCCAGTAATCTGAAACAGACGGCTCTTTCACAACACATGTGAAGCAAGAGTACAAGAAACCCTGTCACTTCATTTGGGGTTGTTTATTTCCAGTTCTTGGCAAAACAGTTGTCTGGTTTCGCACCAATCTTTACCTCAGCATAACGGTTTGTTTCTTTAGCAAACACAGCCAGAATTTCTTTACTGAAGAAAATATTCAGTGTTTCATTTGTTCCTGCTGGCAGAAATAAACCAAAAGTGCCAGTAAATGGGGGGTACTCCAGGAAAGCCTTCTAAATCACAATGCCAGTCATCAACCATTCGGGGGGGGGGGGGGGGGGGGGGGGGCGTGGCAAATCTTCCCCGGACTCTTCAGATGATGATGATTCTGAATCAGAAGCGGCAATAATATCTTCGTCATGTGCAGACTCAGGGACAAGATCTTTATAATCTGTGGGCTTTGACAGAATACTCTCACAAGAACTATCAGCATCATAAACTGTGCCGCACTAATGCTTGCAGCTGACAACACTGTCTTTGACAGACTCGACTTTGAAGCGGCGATGTTTTGAATGGCACTTTGTTAAATTTATCATAGCCATCAAACTGTTAAGAAGTGTCTTCAAATTCACTTTTTAAAGCAAAATCAAGAAAATCACATTCATCATTAGAAAAATTATGCTAAATATGACTACCACGAAAGTTCAGAGAATTTGACGCCATGATCTATTTTTTGTCAATGTCTCACCGACATGGGAGCTAATTTTACAAATGTGTCAACTATTTACTTTAAGCACTATGAAGTTATTTCCCTTAATTAATCATACAGAAGTGAATAAGCTAGAGGTTTCAACTAAATTCATCATAAAAATTGCGATTGTAACATGACGGCGAGCATCCAATGCTAAAATCGCAAAGGGTGCGACCTTAAGGCAGGAAGTAAACGTCACCTCCTCGCATAACGTGCGACGCTGGTAGTCAGTTGGTTAATACATTAAGAAAACCAATCTGGCAACAGAAGTGTAGAATTATCTTGGTGTATTAGCTAACAGAGTGTTGTCACTCTTCCTTCAGCAAACAGACCTAACTGTTCACAGTGATGTGGTTACATTATATACACTTTACATCTTATTATTGAATACTTGCATATTGTGGGAGGTTGGGAGGAGCGCTTCTAATTAGGTAACATTTTGTAGGTTGCATAATTTAGGAGCTGTCTTTTAGTTATTTCTGTCTATTAGTTTATAGACCAGAATACCTAGTTGTCTGCGTCAGGTAGCGTTAATAGTCCTGTACGTACGGTTTGTTATCGGTTGTGTTAATCCTTGGTGCTTTCGGTCCATTTTCTTAAGTGTACTGTCATACATAGCTTGTTTTCTCGTTGTCTTGTTTTCGTAAAAGTTAGCACTGTTATCGTAACGTCGTGTACTGTCTTTTATTGATGTCCGTCACACTGACATAAGTAAGTCAAAATGTCCTTTGCTGAGTTTGTCAGCATAGCTGAGGAGTTAGAACTTAAGCCTGAAGAGATCCTGAGCTTTACAGAATTTAGGATGACAGAGGTAACAGAAAAACAAAAAGCTGCAAAACAAGCAGAAAATGAAGAAGCGACTAGAGATAAGAGAGCTGCAGAAAAAGCTCATCAAAAAATATTGCAGAATTGGCCATTACACAAAAAGAGACTAAAGATTTAGCGAGGTGAGTCGCTAAAGAAAGGACAGGATTCAAACCACTCAAGTGAAGAGGTGGTAAAGTATGAACCAAAATTACCTGTTTTAAAACCAGAAAGTGAGTTACATTATGACATTGAAAGATTGAAGAAGTACAGTTGTGTGTAGTTTTTATTGATGAATCTATTAACATAAAAAACACATATTACATTTAGTAGCTTATCAAGGAAGTGAATTTGGTGCATTAGTGCTCACGTTATGCGAATTGTGTGGGGATAAGGCGGAGAGTACCCAACATGTTATTAGCCACAAGATTCGACAAGAGTCAAGCGTGGCGGAATTACGAGGACGAGGCTAATGCAGTGCCTCGTGATAATTCGGCTGTGGGCCGAGAGACTCTGTTGCCTGGGGCCAAGTCTCATCAGTTATCGTGTATATGTTACAGTGACCCAAAGGAAGGGCACGTAACGAAGAAGAAGAATCTGTCCTGAGTGACAACGCGAGAGTTATAAGAAGGCTATCGGTGACCCTAGGAGGGGCCGTAGGCCGAAAGCGAATGTTTTGGACTCACGCCGAGTCGAGGTGATGTGTTATCTTTCAAGTGACACAGCCTTGGTAGCATATTATAATGTATAACCCCCGTGTGGTTTCTGGGGCCCTATTGTGGGGAAAACAAGAATAGACCCACTGCCTCCCCAAAAGCATGTCGTAAGAGTCGACTAATTGGGGAGCTTCCTTTGAAGTCGGAGTGCATCTGCCGGAGAGGCAAGGAACCAACAGTCTGTATTCAAGAGAATGAGATCTGTAAAACTGATGCACACGCAACACTCAGCTTCTGGAGCAGGACTGCAGTTCAGTAGTGGACGAGCAACCAGAACCTTCCGCCAGAGTTTACAGCTGGTGAACGCGAAGAAGAAGAAGAAGAAGAATACTTGCATATCCCAATCTTCAGTATACTTCAAGTGCGCATCCGTGATGTTACTTCTGATTCTAATCTATATGTGGTACCTTATTTACTGACATCAAACCAATCTTCAGTATACTTCAAGTGCACATAAGTGATATTACTTCTGATCTATATTTGACACCTTATTTACATGAACTCTTTCTTATTGACAGCTATTTTAGAGCTGTAAATAATCACTGTCAGACTCAATCTGTAGGGAACTGCACAAGTGATATACTGTATGAATCTAAACTTAGACGTTTTAACTAGTACAGTCTGGTTTTCTTTAACAATTCATAGGGATAGAGGAAGCTAAAATTCCCTATCCCTCCTTTTACTTGATCTTCTTACTTAATGCATTTTTGCTGTAATGCAGGTTAGAGCGAAAAGCCATGCAGTAATTTTGCAGTTACCTCGTATGGTGGTGGAGTGACTGTGTGGTGCACGCACCATGTGGTGATATCTTACCAATATCAGTATAAGAGGGAGTGTTGAGCTAGCCCTGTTGTAGTTTCTTTTCACAGCAATGAAAAGGAAGTAGGCCTGTTCTGATAAAAATGGTTCCGCATGTAAGAAAAAAAGGAAAGATGTAACATTGGAAGACAAATTATCAGTTATAAAGAGATGTGGAAATAATAGGCACACTGTTGACATTGTCAGAGCTACAGGGTTGTCAGAATTAGCCATACTGAGCATCAGACAGAAATTAAGCACATCAAATAAAAAGTATAAAAGTGCAGCAAGAATGACAACAGCTTGAGTCAAACAGATTAGGTCTCTGGTTATGAAACAAATTAGAAAGAACATTAGCCCAGGGGATTGAACATCAGGCTAAATGTCTCATTCCTTCATCCACCTTGATTATCTAAGCCAGTGCCAGAAAGTTTGTTTTATTAATTGAATGCTGTAGAGTTGGATCTTAAAATGCTTCTGTTCACTTAAAAAAAATTTTTTTGTTATTGTTGGCTGGTTTGAGTGTTCTATGGTTTCAAGGGACAGACAGTTGTTTGAGTAATCTAAAGCTGACAGGTGAGATCGCAGCAGGGAAAGTTGTTGCTGTTGTAAAGTTTCAGCACATTGTCGAGATATAATTGAGGAGCATGGTTGCAGGCCCCAGCAAGTGTTCAGTCTTGATGAAACAGGGTTATTCTGGAAGTTTATGCCAAATTGAACATTTCTATCAGTGGAGAAAAAAAAAAGAAGAGAATGCCCTGGGATTCGAAGCCTCCAAGGACCGCCTCACATTGTTGTCGGAAGGAAATGCATCTAGCGATTATAAAACCAAGTCCCTGTTTATCAAAGAGCACTCAGGGGTTGCTCAGAGGATTAGCTTTCTGTTGTGTGGCAGTCAAACAAACAGACTTGGATGACAGGAACTGTGTTTAAATATTTAAAAATTACTTTTGCAGTCTTCTTCTTAGCGTTTACCGCCTGAAACTCTGATGGTTGTTTGTCCACTCGGCAGATTGCTGGTAATTTGCAGATGTGCTCTGAATTCAGTTTAAACATCCTTAATTAGTTGCCTTTTTAAGCTTGTGGAGGGGGGGGGGGCGCAGTGACCCCCCCCCCCCCCCTTCTTCCTTTGCTCATGGGACCCTGGAACCCATACCGGGAGCTGAATGCTTGCTGTGAAGAGATAAGTGTGCCCTTGAAAGTATTCTGTTTTTTTACCACCAAACACACCTGTGATCCAGCCAGTGGATCAGGGTGCTACTGCAACTTTCAAAGGGCTATTATCTGAGTAGAACATATTCCCAATTTGTAATTTCACAGTTAAAGTAGTATTTAACTAAAAAGATGGAAATCTGATTGTCTCCCTTTCAGACTACAAGAATCGTTATGTAGTGCATGTTATAATTAATACCCTTTATGCGTTTGTGTATCCCACGATTATTTCTCAAAGTGAATTAATTGAGAGATAGCTGTACTTTGTTGTTGACACAGACATTTGTGAAAATTGCAGATCCATTTCTTGGGAAGATGCTATTCATTATTACCAGCTAGCCATTGACCAGAATGATCACGATGAGGGTGGAGACTTTGATTCTACTATGGAAGATCCTGTGCACCAGCTCATTGCCCAACAAGCAGCCATGTTCAGGACTGGAGGACATGGGTTAGACAGAGACCTTCAGAAAGCTGGTGAGTATGAAGAAATTGAGGCAGTTATAAGAAATCTTGAGGCAGTAGAAGTAAAGAGACTGTTCAATAGGCTCAGCTTTGTAAGATGAGAACACTACCTTCCTCACCTCACCACCAAATTCTGTCTTGGTAGACATTTTAGGCTGGGTCATACTGGTAGCCTGTCACTGAAAACATCAACACAAATGTCTAGCTTCTGTATATTTAATGCAAACTTTTCACATGAAAATTGTTGAAAGTAATTTATTCAGTATATTTTGTGCATTTAACTTTTCTATAATGGGCATAACAGGGCTACATAACACATTGACATCCCCTTGTGGGGTGCAGTTTTGAAGCGATATAGCTGGGCCTTAAATATGGCCTAATGGCTAAACGCGGTTTCCGGGACCTCTCCACCGGTGATCCTCATCCATATGGTGGCACTTTGTGTCATCGGGTGTTTATCGCTCTGTGTGATGTCATGGTGGGGTAAAATGTACTACAACTAATAATAATAGGGCTTAACTTAGCAAAACCAGACAGCCACACATCACATTACCAGGATAGGGGAGTTAATTTAGTGGATTCCTGATAATTCTAACACACCGAGTAATGACAAGGGAGATGCTAGAAAAGAAGAGATACATGCAAGAACAGCAGTGTATAGTTGTGACACCAAAGACAACATAAACTGTCTGTCCGACAAGGAAGGGCCATAACATATATCACTTAACCTGCACCAGGGCATCAACCACGACTTGCTCTGGGGTATCTGCTATGTAAATGTCCTCAAGTTGAACATTGCCTATTCAAGGATTTGAGTGTAGTTCTTACAGATAGAGGAAAACATGATTTCATTGAAAAGAACACTTTTATTTGCAGCTGCCTCTTCATTTGCTCCTTTTCCATTGAGTTTTCAAATGCCCCAAGTTTCCAAGTCAATTTCGCACAACATGCCCAAAAATAATAATATAGACGTTCTTAAGCAGCTTAGCTACTGAAATCAGTTGTTTAAAATATTGCTACCTCTGGACTGTCTTGATTGTTATATCTTATGAAATGTAATGTTGTTGTTATGAAAGAAAAAATGTAAATGTTTCAAATAGGAAAAGAAAGAAAGAAAACAAACCAGAAATGCAGTGTCCAGAAGACATAATTGTATGTTTCCATGTTCTGTTGTTTACAGGAGACTTGTACAATGAAGCAGCAGAAGCAGCTATGGCAGCCATGAAAGGAAGACTAGCAAACTCATTCTACATGCTAGCTGAAGAGTGTTACAGTGAAATGGAGTAGGCATTATCGTCCTTTTATATCACATCTAAGGAGTGTTAACGGTGAAATGGAATAGACATTGTCTTTCTTTTATATCTGATTTGAGGAGTGTTAACGGTGAAATGGAATAGACATTGTCTTTCTTTTATATCTGATATGAGGAGTGTTAACGGTGAAATGGAATAGACATTGTCTTTCTTTTAAATCAGATATGACGAGTGATGAGGAGTGTTAACAGTGAAATGGAATAGATATCGTCCTTCTTTTATGTCTGATATTGGAGTGTTAAGGTGAAATGAGATAGACAATAGTGTCCTTTTTATTTATATCAGATACGAGGAGTGTTAACGGTGAAATGGAATAGATATCGTCCTTCTTTTATGTCTGATATTGGAGTGTTAAGATGAAATGATATAGACATTATTGTCCTTTTTATTTATATCAGATACGAGGAGTGTTAACGGTGAAACAGATTAGACATTGTCGTCCTTCTTTAGTGTTTGATATGAGGAATTTTGCAGTTAAATAATATAGAAATTATTGTCCTTCTTTTTGAATTAGATATGTGGAATGTTATGGTGAAATAGAATAGACATTGTTGTCCTTCTTTTATATCAGATATGAAGAATGTTATCGTGAAATAGAATACACATTTTTGTCCTTCTTTTATATCAGATATGAAGAGTGTTATGGTGAAATAGAATAGACATTGTTGTCCTTCTTTTATATCAGATATGAAGAATGTTATGGTGAAATAGAATAGACATTGTTGTCCTTCTTTTATATCAGATATGAAGAATGTTATGGTGAAATAGAATACACATTTTTGTCCTTCTTTTATATCAGATATGAAGAATGTTATGGTGAAATAGAATAGACATTGTTGTCCTTCTTTTATATCAGATATGAAGAATGTTATGGTGAAATAGAATAGACATTGTTGTCCTTCTTTTATATCAGATATGAAGAATGTTATGGTGAAATAGAATACACATTTTTGTCCTTCTTTTATATCAGATATGAAGAATGTTATGGTGAAATAGAATACACATTTTTGTCCTTCTTTTATATCAGATATGAAGAATGTTATGGTGAAATAGAATACACATTTTTGTCCTTCTTTTATATCAGATATGAAGAGTGTTATGGTGAAATAGAATAGACATGATTGTTTGCTTGATTAGAAAACGTTAAGGTATTTTAAAAATTAACTGGGAAAAGCTTAATTATTTCCTATCAGTGATTAGATTTGAAAAGTGGGGTAAATGACATTCTTCAATTACTTCTTGTATCGGGTGTGAAGGGTTTTATAGTAAAATAATTTAAGTGTGATTTTAAATGTACTGTCCTAGATATGATAAGTGTTATGTGAAAAAAATACAGATGTCTAATTTCCTCAAGCATCATCATCATCATCAGGTGCCTTGCCGACTGGCGTGGGCGATCATGCCTCTCCATAATCTGCAATCTCCTGCAGCATGTCTCGGTTTGTGTGCCGACACACCTCCATGCCATGCAGCAAGACTGTCAAGCATCTTCTCTCGTTGTCTTCCTCTATCCCTCCTTCCTCAGATCTCTCCAGTGGTCACAACATGTTCTATTTTCCCTCTTCTCATAACATGGCCGAAAAATGATGACTGTCTCCTTCTGATGTCTGTGATAAGTTGTCTTCGGGCTCCCGCTTCTTTCAAAACCTCATGGTTGTTCTTTTTGGCTGTCCACGGTATTCTAAGCATTCTTCTGTAAAACCACATTTCTGAGGCATGTAAAACCACATCTCTGAGGCCTCTAAAAATTGTTTGGCCTGCCTACTGATTGTCCAGAATTCACAGCCATATGTTAAAACTGGATGTATGTAGCAAGCAAGAATTCGTTTTCTAACTCTCAATGACAAGGATATATCCTCAAGCATATGTTCGTGAAAATGCTTTCTTGTTTGCTTGGAGAAGGAAGCTGGAGAGTAAAGTTTCGAAAATGGGGAGGACATTCTATCCAATGCAATAGCATAAGATAGAACCACTTGGCAGGGGTTGGTTAAGGGCCTATACTCTGTTGGGGGAGATAGAAGGCAGTAGAAGAAGAAGAAATTTAGGATGTGTCATATATGTTTTATCTTTATAATTATTATTAATTTGAAGTTTCATTAAGTAAATTCTATTTTATGTTTGTTGTGTATATAAATATATTGAAGCCTATATATATATATATATATCTATGGTTTTGGATGATATTTCTGCATTTTAGGTCCTGTTCTGTTTTCTGGGGTCTCAATAGCTATTTGAGAATTTATTGTATTTAATTCATAATAAACCAAATGTGAAAATTCTAATGTCTCTGCCTTCAGAAACTATTTACACGCTGGCGAACCCGGCTGCAAGCAGTATTGTATAACTGCATCAACTACAATTTAACTGAGAGAGATTTTTAGTTTCATGAATGATGAAGTTTCGTCAGTCAAAGCTGTAGACTGTTTTATAACAGTACTTGATCTAGGTGCCTCACAGTGACAGTCACCCAGCTTCACATAATACACATGTGTAGAACTACTACTTTTGCGTTTGCCCTCTAGATGAGTGGCTGGGCATGTGCACATTGTGTTTTAGTTTACAGCTAGACTGAAATCTGCACCTTTCTGCTCAATGTCTGATATTCAACAAATCGTAAATTAGTTGCCTCTAAGACATGCTTGTTAGGGTCAGTCTCTTCTCATCCCTCCACCCTCTCCACCGTGGTGACCTTAATCCAAATAAGAACTAAAACCAGACTTAAACTGCAAAGTCATAAACGTTATGAAAACATGTAAGTTCAGTGTAGCTCATGGTATGGAGAGTGACTGTGCAACTTTTATCACTGCAGATTATTCCTAGCAGTCCACATTTGTAGATGTAACTTTCATTTGTCTTATCTTTGGATAATTCCTAGTGATCCATATTTGTAGATGTATCCTTTACCCATCTCACTGTTGTCTAAATCTGCATTTGAAGACTCATCCTTTTCCCATCTCACTGTTGCCTAATGGTCCATATTTGTAGTGAGTTTAATGTCTTGTTATCTTGATAATTTCCAATGGTCTACATTTGTAGAGGTATCTTTTATCATCTATCTCACTATTATCTACAAACTATAACTGATGGTCTGTATTTGTGTGTACTGCTATGTTACATATCTCTCTCTGTTATCTGAGGAAAGTTTCTCTTGACTCATAGTTTTATTGTCCTCTGTTTGTTGGAGGGCTGATTTATTTTGTTTGTGTGTCGGCTATAGTATTATCTGCATTGTCCTCAAAAACCACATTTCCTCTGCCATTAGATGTTTGGCTGTACTTGAGAAATGTATGACAGGAAAGTATTATATTCTGACATATATGAGAGACTACTACATTGTGTCTGCATTCTTCTATTGTTCAACAACCATATATTTGAGATTGCCAATTATTGTTAATCATATTTTGTTGTCACAACATAGTCATATGTCACACTTGTTACAAGATAATTTGTTTATCTCAGTACAAGTTATATATTGGGTTGTTCTAACACAGTCATCTGTGTGGTGTCACAACATAATTATATATGTGGGATTAAAATTGTTGAGGGATTCAGTATGAAGTTTGTTTCTATGTTTTTTTACACTTTGTTCACATAATTACAGTTTGACAGGTGACTACTCATTGACTAGTTCCACAACTGTATATGTTTGAAGTGTTTGCATTTAACTGTGTCTGTTGCTGATGAGGTATTCTTCATGTTACTTGCAGATTTGTGGTACAGTTGACTAATATATGTTGAAACACTTGGACTTGCACCCCATGATTTCTCTTTGTTTGGTACTTGGGCTATTATCTTCCCCTTAGAGACATATTTGCTGCTTGTATCATTTTCATATGTGAGTAATACTATAATTTCGTAAGTGGTGTTTATGTCCCTTTTTTTTCCAATTTTGTGTGTGTGGGGTCATGTTTTTTTCAGATGGGACAGTTTTATTTGTTTCTTCATAATTTTCACAACAATTTTGCTTCACAACAAAGAAATCATTCATCTCATTGACGGCTATCAGTTACAACTATCGCGTTATAAACTTCATAAGTAAAACAAAATGTGATGTTCAACTGATGGAAACCATGGTAGTATAGTGGCTAGATGCTGGCCTACAGGTCTTGGGTTTAAATCAGCACTGGCTGGATTTTTTTTTTAATGATCTTGGCTCCCATGTTGACCAAGCCTAAAATTGGCACTCGATAATCTTCCAGAAAGTAAAGGTGGCCGGCGTGATGCTGACTACATCACCCATCAGTTGTTGATTAGTCTATACAATAGGAGTCTGACATCATATACTCGATGCCCCTTTGGCATGAAAAGGGTCCTTGACTTACTTACCGACCACAGATGGCGCTAGTTTTCATAATTAATCTGATGAGTAAATACAACAGACAAGCAGATCCCAAGCAAGAAGGAAAGTTGTAGTAAGCATTGTAATTTGTTAAAGTGAGTCAGAATATAATGTTTCTTGTTATAATAATATGTTACTGCTTTTTTTGTGTTGTGTTCATATAGTATTTGTAAAGTTGAATTTTTCTTTATATTATGTGTTTTATTGTTTATATTTCAGTATTGTCTGTTGAAAAAGTTTATTCCTGTGACTTATTTACAATACTGAATCATCAGTCTCCAGTTCTCTTTATTGTTTGTTATGTTAGAGTTGGAGATGTTTTGTTAACTCATTAAAATTTAAGAGTTTAGGTAATGTATGAGTGGCAGTATAGCTGACCAGGAAGAGGCAGAATTGTCATAAACTTCATTCTCTTGTGTGGTAAATTTTATCAGACCTTGTGTGTGTAAATTATTTACATGTATATGAAACAGCTTTTAATGGATGTTACAAACTGAATGAGTGTTCTGTGGTGTGTGTTTATATGAGAATTCTAGCCTTTTCATGCACATGGTGGAAATAAGATCTGAGTTCACTTTTAGTGTTTTTTGTGGGTTCCTAGACGAGCCTGTATTCTCCTAAATGTGAACAAACAT